CTGCTCTGTCCTGTTCTTTCCTGCTCTGTCCTGCCCTGCCCTGCCCTGTCCTGCTCTGCTGTCCTGTTCTTTCCTGCTCTGCTCTCTCCTGCCCTGCCCTGCCCTGTCCTGCCCTGCCCTGCCCTGTCCTGTGTGGTCAGCAGTGGTGTGGAGGCTCAGCCACCTCGGACACAGCGATGCTCCCCTCCCGCTGCCGCTCCCTGCCACAGCACAGCCCCGGAGCTCATAAATCCGCATGAGCCGTGGAGGAAAGCGGAGGGTGGAAGAGAAACATGGAAAGGAATTGATTTGGCTGAGTCACCTGAGGAGYGCTGGACATCAAGGGCAGGACTGACCCAAAGCCCCCTGGACCCTCCTGTGGTGCCCGTGCTGGGCCTGGCACTCGGCTTTGGCACACACACCATGCCCAGCGACACAAATCACCAACAACTGGCACCGAATGCTGCTCCAGTCTAAGGCAGAGCTCACAGAGAACACCCCTGCAAACACGGCAGGCCACACCAACACAGGAACTGTCTGATTTAAAGAACTTTGTGCTGTCGAGGGCGGTGGGATTGGGGCAGGAGTCATCTGCAGTGTTATTGCTGCTCCTGAGCAATCCTCTGTGCCTCACTGACAGTCAGCACAGTGGAAGGAGCAGCACCCTGCCTCCTCTGCACTCTGAGGGGTTTTTTGTGTGGATGCTCCAGCCTCCCACCCCGTGAGGAACCAGAGGATGCTCATGCGATGGCAGCTGGCAGAGCTGAGCACCAACACGGAGCTGACACCAGCAGCTCCTTCCAGCATTGGCTGTTAGCGAGGATTGCTCAGAAATCACAATAGCTGCAGAAGACACCAACAGAGGACTCCTGCCCTGATCCTGCAGTCCTTGATAACACTCGATATTCCTTAAATCAGAGACTTTCTGAGCTCGTGCACAACACAGGGAACCCCTGCCCTGCTTGCAGGGGCTTTCTCTGGGCGTTACCTGACTTTGAACAAACCACACACACACCTGAGACCCCGGGAGCCTCCTCCCGGGCTGGGCCATTGCTAATGGTGAGAAAGGGGGGCCAGAACGGGCAGGCAGCCACAGCAGGGACCCTGTGCTCGCTCCCCGGTGTCCCCTGCAACCTCATTCCCTCTCCCCAGGCTCTGTTCCTTCCCACAACCCAGAATAATATTCTGAATATTTGTATGCAGAATAGATCAGCTCAGGATCATGGGATTGTACTTCTGCCATCCTCCCTTTGGAAGGGGAGGCAGAAGAGGATGGCAGACAAAGTACCCCAAACTCACCCACGGACACATCCAGCTCAAGAAAACAGATTTGATCTCATCTCGCAACACCAAAGAGTAACTTTAACCAGCAGACCATGCAGTAACTTTGCTTCCTGCCGGGAACACACAGATCCACGGGCTGATGAAGGCTCTGCCATGCTCCTCCCCAGCTCAGGAGCTCCGGCCTGGAAGGCAACCTGTCTGCTCCAAAAAATCCCCCAGCAGCAGGACTCGTGCCACAGAGCCTGCCCAGCCATCACGCCTGCTCGCCCCTCTTCCCACGCCGCCAGCCAGCGGTCAGCACAGTGGCCGCACCGGTCACTCACAGTTATTGCTGCTTTGATACACTAAGAACCAAACAGCAGAGGATTTTATGTCTTAATTGGGTCTTGACCTCAGATGAGAGTTTGACTGTGCTTCAAAGACTCACTCTTCTCTCCCTGCGTTAATGAATGTGRCTCCAACAAAACCGGGTTTTTAGGAAGCCGTTGGCTCCGAAGTCGGGATGAACCTGGCAGATGTGCCGGGTGCCCTTTCCAGGTGCTACCAGCACTTTTAACCACCCTCTCCAGGTGTTTTTTAACCAGCAGCAAGGCAAGGAACACRGAGCTCAGTCACCTGAGAGAGGCCAGTGGACACACATCTCGCCACAGTCCACTGCTGAGACAGGATAGTCTCAGGAAATACCTGAGCCTGTATTTGACAYACACAACATAAAGCAAGGAGAGACAGCGAGGGGCACTCGAGGGCTCCCTTCCTGTGCCCTCTTCACAGCTTTGCAGGGCTGGAGAGCCCTGGGGATGTTTGGCAGAGCTCAGAACATGGGCTGTGCCCACAAAACATTCTAGGCCAGGCTGGACAAGACCTGGCCTGGTGGAAAGTGTCCCTGCTCACTGCTGGGGGTGGGACTGGACGAACTTTAAAGGTCCCTTCCCACCCAAACTGATTCCATGAACACACATCTTGGCTTGGGGCAGTGYGGTGACCAGCAGTGACCACCCCAGCAGGGCTCAGCTGCCCAAACAGACCCACGGAGCMGCTCCCCAGGAAGGTGTGCCATGACCCAACCACACCATCCTACGAGAGCTCGGCACCACCWACCTTGTGCGAATAGTGCTGATCCACAATCCTGGCCAGCCCGAAGTCGCCGATCTTCAGCACCAGGTCCTCGGTGCTGATGAAGATRTTGGCGGGCTTGAGGTCGCGGTGGAGGACGTTGGCCGAGTGGATGTACTTGAGGCCGCGCAGCAGCTGGTACATGAAGAGCTTGGCGTGCTCCTCGGCCAGCTTGCCCTGCTCCAGCAGCCGCGCCAGGTCCGTCTCCATGTACTCCTGCACGATGTACACCACGTTGAACTTGAAGAAGTCCCCGCGCAGGTTGGCGCCCTTGGGGCCCAGCACCTCGTAGACCTTGACGATGTTCTCGTGCTCGAGGCGGCGGATGATCTTGATCTCGCGGAAGGCGTGCTTCACGCTGCGCGCGTCGCCCAGGGTCAGCTTTTTCACGGCCACCTTGCGGCAGCTGCGGCTGTCCAGYGCCGACAGCACCAGCCCGTTGGCCCCGAAGCCCAGCGGGCGGAAGTTGACGAAGCGGCAGCCCAGGTCGTAGCCGTACATGCTGGCCAGGCAGTCACACTTCTCTGCCATGGCGCTCCCCGCTCCTCCTCCGTCACACGAAAAGCCGGCGGGGTCCCAGGGCCTCCGGGTCAAGAGCGCAGCTGAAAATCCACCCCCTCATGATTCCTGGCGGGTGCTCGGGGAGGGGTCTCGCTCTGAGCCCATCGCTTCAGGATGACACACMGGGAAAATGAATCTGAGCACCTACACACACATGCAGAGAAATAAAACGTTCTAAGCCATGAGAAATCAAGAGGCAGAAAAAACTTTCAAGCAGCGTAGAGAAATGTGGCCCAGAGATCTCCAGCAAAGCAGAAAGGTTCTTTTATCTAGGCTGGAAAATCAGCACTGCTACGTTTGCCAGCCCCTGCCTTGCCTCTCTTCTGCCATGCCCTGGGGACAATGCCGGGCACAGGGCTGGTGGCACGGCCAGCGTAGAGCCCTGTGTCCCCAGTGTCTCAGCGCCAGGCAGCCAGCCAGCCCCGTTGTGGGACAGAGCCCTGAGCAGCCCCGCAGCCCCCACACTGCCCAAAGCCCCCTCCCCGCTGGCCTTGGCAGWGTTTCCCCAGCAGTGAAGCGCACCCAGGCACCGTTCGAGCTCCCAGCGGTCAGCACAGCTTCGCCCTTCCCTTCAGGATGGCAGACCCCATCCTCCTCCCCGGTGTGCTCGGACGGTGACAGAGCAGGGGTTTGCAGGGCAGGGCTGCGCTCTCCGGCCGCTTTCAGCACAGGCAGTTGGGTTGTCAGCACTGTCCGATGGGCACAGCCTCTCGATTTGCTCCTGCAGCCCTCTCACCCGCAGCGGGTCCCGGCTCACTCCTGCAAGAGAASAGAGGAGCCGTGTGAGGAGCCTCCCTGCCCACGCTCAAGGTTCACCGTCAGCACAGCCGCGACCTTCCCCAGGCTCCTCACTTTTCACCTCCTGACACACACGGCAGCGCTGGCATCGCTCAGCCGCCCCATTTCCCCTTTCCCATTTCCCCTTTCCCGTTTGGAAGGCGCAGACAGCTGTAACTCCTCCTTTTCCCTTTGCTGCCTGTTTTGTTTTGTGTTTTTAAATTTGCTTGAAAACATTACGGAGCAATCTGCAAAGGCTGAACAGCATGTAGCGCCTGCGACTGTCCATGTAAACCACGTCACAAAAAAAGCCCAGAAAAGAGGATACAGACCCTSCTTGCACAGCAGCTGAGAGGAGTTTTTCAGCCACGGAGATTTTCAGCTTCTAACAACAAAAACTGCTTKGGCAAATGAGGCGATTTTCACAAAAAAAAGCCCTCAGAACTGTCTGTGAGGATGTGACACCCCCCAAACTCAGGGTCCTGTGGCAAACACCCCACAGCAGCTGGGGGCAGCTCCTCTCTGAAAGTACAACTGAATCTATAACTATATTTAAAGGTATATATATATAGATTTTTTTTTTATTTTTTTTTTTTTTTTTTTTTTTTTTTTTTTTTTTTTTTTTTTTTTTTTTTTTTATGAGGGATACAAAATCTAAGTCGTTTTTCCACCCACTGTGGCATTGGGAAGGTGGCACCGATCAGTGTGGTCCAACACAAGCTGGGGCAGTCCTGGAGCACAATCCCAAATCCCAAAGCYCCTCTGCCTTGGGGCTGTGCCGGCACTCGCCTCTCCCTGAGCRACGCAGGAATCCCTCACTGAGACACGGCGGCTTTTAAAGAACACACAAACGGCAGAGGAAGCTGCAGGCTCCACGGCAAAGGAGGAATGGGCAAACACCAACATCTGCTGGGCATGAGCACATGGGTCCGGCCAGAGGATCCCAGCATGTGGGGGATATTCCGGACAAAATGCCATCCTCCAGTGCCGGGTGACCAGGGACCGCTTCTCACAGCCGTTCTGCTCAGGAAAAGAGAATTCCAAGCCCTCAGAGCACTGCGAGATTTCCACCGTGATTTCCACCTGAGAATGCTTCGTGATTTCCACCTGAGAATGCTTCGCTTAGAAACAGAATGGAGCAAAAGGCCTGAAGCACCAGGAAACAGCTGGGCTTTTTCTCCCAGACGGTGGGCTCAAGGTTTCTGACCTACCACGTGTCCCTGCAGCTGTTCCTGAATCTCCGAGGGGCGAGGACACCTCCTGACCGTGACCCCCACCCTCGTCCTTGTGCCACCCACTGAGGCTGGGGACACCTGCAGGGACCACCCAGCTCCACCGGAGCCGTGACCCTGCTCAGGGAGAGCCCAGGTCACCAGCGCTGCTCTGATGAGGAAAACAAAACAGAAAGAGCGCGGATCTGCTCCCGTTGTGCTCTTCCTGCCAGAACGGTGCCTCTGCGAGAGCCCTGAATCACGGAGCTGCTCCGTTAACCGGGCAGTGGGCTCACAGCCTGGACCCTGCCCAAGCCCTGCCGGCAGGACCCTCCTGCACCCCGGCAGAAATCCCCAGGAACAGCAAAATACCAGGGAAACACCAAAATACCGACAGAACCACCAAATGCTGAGCAGTGTCCATTGCTGGAGGAGGACGAGCAGCGCGATGCCCCGGGGCAGCAGGGAGCAGCTATTGCAGGGGGAGCCCATTACCGGCTGAAAGGAAGACATATGGAGCATCCGAGGGAGGGCAGGAGGAGGCTGGCAGGGCAGGGATCCCCTCCGACAGCATCTGCCAGCAGCCACCGCGCCGCTTGGCAGCCGCAAGCACCAATAATTACAGCCTCTCTGCAATCCTGCAGTTATCTAACKCTGGCTTTGCACGCAAACACCGAGCGGGAGATCGGGGAGCGGGACAGGGCACGGCTGGAGAGGGTCCAGGCAGAGCAGGGGGATGGAAACACACGGGGAGCACGGGGAGAGGGGCAAAGGCAGGTGAACAAACCCTCTCCCCGAGCAGGAGGGTGTCCCTGCGCAGTGACCCCGGCATGGAGAGGGAGCACAGCTCACTGCACCCGGAGCTGAGATCAGCACGGGGCTGCAGCTGCACGAAAGGGGCTTTTCTGCTTCTGGGAATCACCTGAGATCCCTAAGCCTGCGCCCCAGACCTCAGCCGAGGAAAAGGAAACCAAGAAAAGCACCCAAAATTTGCTACAGGCAAAGGGGGCTTTGTGAAACAGGGTTTGGGTCMAAATGCTTCAACACAGCCCTGTGTGGGCTTTGAGAGCCATCTCTRCAGCTCAGCTCAGCCCCACTCCAGGGCCACCGTGCTCTGGGGCACTTTGGTGTCGGGGCTGTCCCTGCMCAGGGCAYGGGGTGGGACTGGGTGGCCTTGAGGGCCCTGCCAGCCCAAACCCTACAGTGACTCCACGAGAGCAGCCCCGCCGAGCCCAGGTAGGGTGGATGGATCCAGCAGGAGCAGGCTCCTGTGCCAAGCTCCTTGGCTCACCCGAGATGCGATGGAAGGAAACAAAGTTCTGCCTCGTCAGCCCAATTATTAATAATTAGTAGAGCTACAGAAGCACTGAAAGGGAAAATGCGTGAGACTGAAAGGGAAGAAAGAGCCCTGTTTTACCTCACAAGCGAAGCGATGGCCTGGCCACATGTCACTGCCCTGCTGGGCGATGGCCCCACTGCACCTCCTGCACTCGGAGGGGCCGAGGCAGAATCACCCCAAAGGATGGCCCTGGAGCCCAGCATGGCACAGCCCTGTCCCTGCTCTCGTGGCTGGGTCTGTCTCACTGAGCAGCCCKGGGATGGCACAAACAGGGAGAGGGTCCATGGCCGGGGACAGCAGGGTCCCCTGGGAGAGGGAGAGGGGAYGGGCAAGGGGGATTGTGCCCCTCAGCCCTGGGCAACAACAGCACAGGGACCWGGAGCTGCTGCAGCCAGGCCAGAGGAGGGCACGGAGATGCTGCCAGGGCTGGAGCCCCTCTGCTCTGGAGCCAGGCTGGGAGAGCTGGGGGTGCTCACCTGGACAAGAGAAGGCTCCAGGGAGAGCTCAGAGCCCCTTTTGGGGCCTAAAGGGGCTCCAGGAGAGCTGCACAGGGACTGGGGACAAGGGCTGCAGGGACAGGACACAGGGAATGGCTTGGCAGTGCCAGAGGGCAGGGATGGATGGGATATTGGGAAGGAATTGCTGGCTGGGAGGGTGGGGAGGCCCTGGCACAGGGTGCCCAGAGCAGCTGTGGCTGCCCCTGGATCCCTGGCAGTGTCCAAGGCCAGGCTGGACATTGGGRCTGGGAGCAGCCTGGGACAGTGGAAGCTGTCCCTGCCCATGGCAGAGGTGGGACAAGATGACCCTTAAGGTCCCTTTCACCCACATCATTCTGTGCCCCAGTGAGTGCCCTCTGTCCACACCCGCTGCCCTCCTCTCTGTCCCCTCTCCCCCAGACAGCACCAAGCCCCCAGCCCAGGCTGACCAGCCTCCCCTGACTGGACACTGAGGTTGTTTGTCCTGCCTTGCCCCTCTCCACATCACACCTCGCTTCTGGCCGGCCACTCCACCTGCAGCGCTACAGGAACCCCACACAGCGTGTACATGGCCGGAGCGCTCCTGGACACTGCAGCGGGGGACTGACCACTGACCACTGACCACTGACCACTGACCACTGACCCCTCCTTTTCCAGGCGCTGGCAGTGAGGCAGAGGGCAGGTCCGGGATGCCCCGTGGCTCTGCTGTCACCAGGCTGCAGTGACACGGTGTCATCCCAGGGCTGACGGACCCCACAGCGACATCAGTGCCACAAAAGCGGCAGGGACGGTGCTCGGCCGGGCAGGATGGACAGAGAATACTTTGTGGAGCCACAAACCAGAGCCCTGGTGGCTTTCAGGCCGTAAGCCCAGGATCCCACACTGCTCGGGATCCCACTGTCCGAGGCTGTGGTGTGAGCCGCTCTGAGTGGAGCTGCTGCTGACCACTGGTGCAGAACGGCCCCTCCGGACAGAGCAGCCCCTCTCACGCCACAGCTGACCACAGCCAAGAGCCACTGACCACCAGCCAAACCAAGGAGCGTTCCCCAGGCTCCTGAGCAGGATTTCATCCTCCACCTCACCAGGGGATGCACAGCACTCCAGATGCCCCCGGTGGGCTGAGCAGCCTGTTTGTCCCAAAGTCTGTTTTCCCAAAGTCTGATTTTTCCAAAGTCTGATTTTTCCAAAGTCTGATTTCCCCAAACCCTGTTTCCCCAAAATCCAATTTCCCCAAAGCCCAATTTCCCCAAAGCCCGATTTCCCCAAAGCTTGTTTTCCCAAAGCCCAAATCTGCCAAAGCCTGTTTTCCTACAGCCTGATCGTCCCAAATCCTGATTTTCCCAAAGCCTGATTTCCCCAAAGCCTGATTTTTGCAGATCCTGATTTTCCCAAAGCTCATTTTTCTCAAACTCAATTTCCCCAAAGGCCAACTTTTCCCAAAGCCTGATTTCCCCAAAGCCTGTTTTTCCCAAACCCTCTTTTCCCGAAGTTTGATTTTCCCAGATCCTGATTTTCTCAGATCCTGATTTTCCCAAAGCCAAATTTCCCCAAAATGCATTTTTCCCAAAATCAATTTCCCCAAAGTCCATTTTTCCCAAAGCCTGGTTTTTGCAGATCCTGATTTTCCCAAATCCTGATTTTCACAGATCCTGATTTCCCCAAAGCCTGATTTCCCCAGATCCTGATTTTCGCAGATCCTGATTTTTGCAGATCCTGATTTCCCCAAATTCTGATTTTCACAGATCCTGATTTCCCCAAAGCCTGATTTCCCCAAATCCTGATTTTCGCAGATCCTGATTTTCCCACAGCCCAATTTGCTGTAAAGGAGCAGAGCAGCATCGCCCAGCGCTGCAAAGGCACCTCTGCTGCCCAAACCTCACTCAGGAAAACAGGAATTTTCCTCCCAAACAGTCAGGGCAATTGCGGACAGGCCAAATTACACTCAGGGCAAAAAAA